GTGACTTTTTTTATGTGACAAGTTCAAAATCTAAACATTGGCGAATTTTTTGGTGTTTGAAATAACCAACTTATAAACAACAAAAATATTCCAAATTTTTTTACGTTCATATGTATGACGAAAAGATTCTTTAAAAAAAATTACTGTGATGAAGACGAGAAACCCTTAAATCTTAGCCCCTCCTGACCCAAACGTAAGATCAACAAGTTGATGAAATATTTTTTGTACTATTTTCAACTAGACTTATATTCATCGAGAAATTTTAAATTTCATTGTAAAATATTTTAGTGTTCAAAAGTTATGACCATATAAAGTTTGCAGCCCCTCAAATTGAGGGGGATTTAAATTTTATATGATCATAGTTTTTGGTCACTTTTTTTTAAATATCATAACCGTAGGGGTCATTAAAATATAATGTCTTGGTTTGCAAAAATGTTAGCATTTTACCGGTTCGCAGTTCGCAGTTCTCATTTTACCGATTACCGAAAATAAATTAAGGAATCATAAATTATTATTTTACAAGTATTATAATTTCCGCTTAATACTTTTATGTAAATTGTATTTAAATTTAAAATATACTTCAATTAAAAAAAAAGTTAAAAATATTTGTTTACAAATTTAATTTGCCATTTGTAAAATAGGCAAAAAGTAGCTTCACTTTTCGTTGTCGGTAAAATGCGAACTGCGAACCGCGAACTGCGAACCGGTAAAATGCGAACTTTTTTGCAAACTAAAACATTATATTTTAAAGACCATTATTGTTAAGATAAAATTAGTAATAAAAAAAACTCTCCGATTCTTAATTATCTATTTTAAAGCTTTATTTAAAATAAAATTATTATTTTTTAACTGTTAAACATGCACGGAGTGTTGCTACATCGACTATCTTATAGCCTGACTCGCAACGGAGTGCTGCTACATCGACTGAGGGTTTAGTTTGGGCGGGCAGTCTATCAAATAATTAAAAAAAAAAAATATATATATATATATTTTCATACTGTGTTTGTCTAGTTTCACTTAATTTCCTTTTATTTATTTTTTAAATAACTTTTTCGCTTAAAATATACCTATTTAACGATAAACAATAAATAAAATATTACATCATTAACAACCAATAGAACGATGGTTTGTAAAAAAGTTCGCTTTTTACCAGTTGACAGTTCGCGTTTTGCGGTTCGCATTTTACCTCGTACTTCACTTTTTCGGATCGAAGTTAGACATCTAGTTACATAATATATCATTGGCCTACAAACAATATTGCTGCGTGTAGAAATAAGCAGAGCGCAGAACTACCGAGAACGCTGGAAGAATTAAATTTGGAATTTCTCGTTTACAAAGCGAGCGCTCCTTTATTACATTTTTTACCGCCTATATGTACTGCATTATTACAAGCATGTACTTTATCGTTAAAACCTTTTGTATTAACAAACTCATTTGATGACAAAAATAAATGATATTATAATTTTGGAATGCATTCTTTTTAAACTATTCTTTTTTTTTTATTATGTAATTATGTTTGATAACAATAACAGAATTTGTTCAAAATCCGGCATGATTTCAAGTTACGGCAATATCGTTTTTACATTTTTTAGGAATTGTTAGCGGCACCTTTCTTACACCTTACCTTCTTTCCACCTCGATGTTCTTTTTCTCTAATTACTATAAATAAATTATTCCAGTACAAGCAACTCCAGTATAAAGCAACTCAAGTATAAGCATAAGTGTTACCTAATACCATTAAAAAAAGTTTAAAAACGTGCAAAAGCATACACTTCTATTAAAAAGTTAATTGATTATTTTAAAGATAATCAACAATAGGATTTAAATAACATTTACTTTTTAATGCATTTTCAAAAGCTGAGATTTTTTGATATAATTTTTGAAATGTACTTCTGCTGCTATAAGCATGTTATACTCATTTGTAAACAACAAGAGTATAACATGCTTATAGCATCTTTAAGGCATTAATTATGTTTTGATGTTTTTTTAATGTATTATTTTTTTTTACTTTAAAAATGATTTTTTTATTTTATTTTCATACTTTTAGTAGTAATAGGAATTAATGCTGTTGAGATAAAGCGCCAGGCAATATCTATGAAAGCCGGTATAAATTAATTAATGAACAAGTTAGTTAAGTCACTAAATAATAAAAACGTTAATAATAAGCTTTCTTGGTTTTTATCTTGTTTGTTATTGCTTCTAAGTCGACCGATTGCAAGCTTAATTTGAAGCTTTTAACTGTACTAGATTGAACAACTTCGGCTGGTAGACTATTCCATCCATCAACAACTCTATTGCTGAAAAAATATTGCGTTTTCAAACAATTTCTGACCAATTCAATTTCTATGAAAAGATTGCGATGTTCTGTCATCCTCATCTTCTTTGAGTCCCTATCTGTTTTACTTATTTTGTTAAATTTTATATTATGTAGTAGAATCTGTAAAATTCTTATCTTATGTAAACAGAGAAGGAAAAAAAATAAAAAAATAAAAATAAAAAATTCAGGTTTCATTCGATGTTTTCCTCTAATGTTAGCTGCAGGACCTGATGAGCAAGAGTTCATTGTTTAATTTTGTTTAATATCAATGATTTCAATACCTTTAAATATTTTGAATTGCTAGATCAAGTCGCACTTTAACCTTCTAGTCTCCAAAGTAGTCAAACCCAAAATTTTCAATCTTTTTTCGTACTCAAGATGTCTTAGCTCCGATCTCATTTTTGTAGCTCTTTGTTGAACTTTTTCTAGTTCATTAATATCTTTTGTATAATACGGACTCCATGCTTGAATTGAAAACTCTAAATTTGGTCTAACAAATGTTTAATACAGTGTTTTTATTAGATCTTTATCCTTGTACTTGAATGTATTATTTAGTAGTGAGAGCATACTATTTGCTTTACTAGCTGCATATTTTACTTGTTTGGCCCATTTTAAATCACTTGATATATAAACGCCAATGTCTTTTTCTAGTTTTGACTTCCATTAATGTATTGTTATTGTTCATAAAGTATGAATATTCGTTATTATTTGAACCAAAGTGCATAATTTTACATTTTTCAAAATTTAATTTCCATTTTGGAATATATCTCTAAAAGAATAAGATGAATATCTCAAAAGGTTTTTTATTTTTTTCAAATAAAGTTTTACGGTTTTGTTCATTGATTTTATTTGGCTGGTAAACAAAACAGTGAAACAAAACAATAAACAAAAAAATGATTTAACTATGGTCAGAATTCAACTTTTTGCGTACCCCATGTTCTATTTTTTTATGACCATTACTGGTATATATCTTTACTTTGATTAAGTATTTTTAAAAGCCTTTATAAGGGACCCCTTTTGTAACCTCCTCAAATTAAGAATAGTTCAAATTTTATAAGGTCATAATTTCTGACTTCTAAAAGATTATTGTATGAAACTCAAAATTCATCGATAAATAGAAGTTTAGTAAAGGTTAGTCAAAAAAAATTATTAAACTGTTACTCTCATATTCGGGGCAGTTGTGTTCAAAATTTTAGAACTTTTTTTCCCAGGCTCTATTTATTGCAATTATTTTCAATGCAAATAAGGGATTATTTGACAAAAGTATAAAAATATGTTTTAGTTTGTTTAATAAAAGGAGTTTGTTTAATGACAGAAAAGTTCAAAAATAAATAAAAGCTGCATCCGCCCTTTTATATCAATGGTATCCGGTATATCAATGGTACATCCACACCTGGTATACCAAAGTCGCTTCCGCCCTTGGTATACCATGTTTAGCATAATACACCTCAATGGATGCTCATAATACACGCTGAATCATGTTAAGTTTTCAAAAAATATATATATATATATATATTTTTTTTTTACTGTAACTAAACAGGGAAATCTACGGTAACTAACCCTAAGTAAACTGGGAAATCTTTGTTCATTTGTTTGTTGATTCGTTTATTCATTGAAAGAAGCATCACCCTATTTAAAAATTTAATTTATAACGTAAAGACTTATATATAGCTAGAAAAAACCCCAATAAAATTTTCCCATCTTGGTGTTAAATATACTTAAGTATGTATTTACGTATATAAGTATGCACGTTGATGAAGTATTTACACAATTAAAAAGATTCCAGACATATAGATGCATAGCAAGCTTATATTGAGATTCATAGCAGCCTTATATGCTTAAAGTAAATTAGCGCTATTATTATTATTATTATTATTATTTTTTTGCCGAGTTATTTTATAAAGCGACCATTATTCCCCCATTTTCATTTGCACATTGCAAATATGCATAAAAACGTGAAAAAAATACTTTACTTGACTACCTATATAATTTTAAAAATCTAGAAAACTTTATTATTAAGAAGTTAGAATATCTTAAACCTTGAATTTTGAATGATATAGCGACAGATGCGGTTTATGGGAAAATTAAGTTAATTAGACAACTCTTTTTTTCCAATTAACATTAATTGATTTTGCAAAATCGTCGTAGTTAAAAATCAGGCATTTATTTTAAAATGTAGGATTATAAATAGTAAACATATAGGTTATTACGCTGGAAAACAGCCTGGTAAAAAATTCCAAAACCACGATATCTGCTTTTAATCAATAAATAACAATGAACAAAATATTTATGCGCATGTTTTGACATTTTATTTTTATTTATTATTTATTGTTGTTTATTTAGTATGTATTTATTGAAAATTTTCTATTAATAAAGAATATTTTAAAAGTTTTTTTTTTTATTCCATCAAAATCTAAATAAATTGTTTTTTTATTTTTGCTAAACGTTAAATTAGTTAATCTTCACGTAGTTAGTTTTTACTCAGTGAAATTCAGGTGAGTTTTACTAAGTGAAATTCATAAACATGATTGTCTGTCACGTAATGAAACATATTTGGCTTTTATTATTTACCTTCTTTATGTTGCGCGGCAATTGTTTGTAATGTTGCGCGGCAATTGTTTGTAAATAGAAACTATTTTAGATCCAATTCATTTTTTAGATTATTTTAAAAAAAATCATTTTACTGTGTGTTATTTAAAGTTTTGTTAAAAATTTGTTGATGCAGACTGAAAATTCAGTTTGAAATACGATTGGAATGAAAAAAACAGTTTTATTCGTTTTGGTTTCATTGATAAGCTCAACAAGCTTCTTGAACGGAATTCCGACTAAAGAGCGCAATGTCATCCAAAACACTTTATTAGATTTATTTGGAAAGCATAATCGTCCAAGACACAATTTATTCTCTGATGTAGGTAAAATTGTAACTTCAGCTACTAAATACATGTTAAACTTGTACCAGTATTCTTTAGGCTCAGAGCTTCAAAATATAAATAACCCCACTATCAATTTAAAGAATATATCAAAAAAAGTCAACTTTGCAGATACTGTTGTCAGTCTTCTTAACAATGGTTAGTAAATATTTTTCCTCCATTTTTAATATAAAAAGCAGGTTACTAAGTTTATTTTGTCGTAGGAGTGGATTATAATAATAAAAAATAAACCCCCTTTTTTAACTTTATTAAGAACTTTTGCATGTTTATACATGTTTATTTTGAAATATCTTTATAGTTTTTTAACTGTATATAAGTTTAAACTACAAATTTATGCAAATAAAAGAAAAAAATTTATGTCATTTTAAACTAACAAGGATTTTTTTTCAAGCTACATGTATGCGTACATTAAGGTTATGACTTTTTGTTATAACCAGTTTCCTGTATAAATTTTTCCGATTGTTTTTAATTAGAAAAAAAGTAAATTTTAAAATCTTTAGAAAATGTTAGTTTTAAGTTTAACACACTTTTGAAAAAAGTGTGTGAAACTCAAAACTAACATTTCTAGTTTATAGATGGGGCCTTGCATTAATCAAGTTTCGTACTGCGTGATCTTTTTCAATAAATAAATTAAAGCAATGATTTTTTAATAAACTTCATGTCATAGCTCATATTTTTTAAACAGGAAACTGAAGATACCTAAAAGATACCGAAACGCCATAATCCTGAGGTACATATATAGATACATACATATAATTGTTAAACATTAGTGAATCTGTGGCGCGAAACTTAGATGTTGAAATACAGATATTTAATTTTTCATAAAATATGTTAGCTAGAGGTCCTTTCCATTTTTGTTTAGAAAACTTATAGGCAGGAACATTTATTTTTCATTTTATTTAAAGATGCATGCTTATATTGTGTGAAATAAGAGCTCAAATGTTGTACTCAATGTTTTTTAGTGAAATTGCCTGTCTTAAGTTCTAAAATCGTAGTGGTTTCAGCTGGTTTTTGAATAAAAGCAAATCATACTAAAAAATTAATATTATAATAATACTAAACATTTTAAATGTAGTTTAACTCTGAATTTGAAAAAAAATTGAATATTTATTGAGTAATAAATATTCAAATATAATAAAATTGAATAAATAAATAATTTTTTTTTTTTTTTGCGTAAAAACAAAGTAGTATTATTTCAAAACAAAGTGGCCTAAAACTTGTTTTTTTTTAATGAAAAATTTTACTAAAAAAGAATAATTATACCCAACAAATTAGTTCTATTCGTCAGGTTGGGATTTATTTATTTAACTAATATGATTTTTTAAAGAAAATTTAAAGTGCTCATATTATCAAGTGGTTTGCCTAATATGAGCCTTTTTACTACTTTTTAAAAATCTCTGTGTTTTCAAGAAAAAAATTTCGGGTGTCAAAAAATCCCATTGGAATATAAGAAGGAATCCCTGAAATTTGTTTTTTTTCAAAAATTTTGTAACCAGTTTAATTATTTTTGAAAATATTTCAATTTTTGCTTATGTGGCTCATTATATCCTAACCTACTCTACATGCATACATGCATACATATACATAAATGCATAGTATGCATGTATGTATATGTATGCATACTTACATACATGCATACATACATACATACATACATACATACATACATACATACATACATACATACATACATACATACATATATACATACATAAATACATACATACATACATACATACATACATACATACATACATACATACATACATACATACATACATACATACATACATACATACTTACATACATACATACTTACATACATACATACATACATACATACATACATACATACATACATACATACATACATACATACATACATACATACATACTTACATACTTACATACTTACATACTTACATACATACATACATACTTACACACATACATTTATACATATATGCATGTATGTATGTATGCAGAGACGATTTTACAAAAAAAATGAGGGGGTTGAATCCTTAAAAAGTACCGACTAGCTTCGTAAAAAAATAAGAAAAAATGTCCTCAAAATTAAATTTTAGCCGATTGAATTGTGTCAAATACCCAACTAGCCGACTAAATTATCAAAAAAGCCGACTATAACTTGAAAATCACTGTATCTGTGTAATATGTATGTATGTATGTATGTATGTATGTATGTATGTATGTATGTATGTATGTATGTATGTATGTATGTATGTATGTATGTATGTATGTATGTATGTATGTATGTATGTATGTATGTATGTATGTATGTATGTATGTATGTATGTATGTATGTATGTATGTATGTATGTATGTATGTATGTATGTACCACATACATACATACACACTGCAGTGGTTTGAAATAATCGAAAAGTGGTATTAATTCCAGATTTGCGAAAATCCGATATAAAAGTTCTGATTTTGCAAGACTGTTGAAAATTGATTATATTTTCATTTTCTAAAAAAAATTTATTTTTAGATCATTTTGCGCTTTCCCGCAGGTGCTCAAAGTTGTCATTTTTTTAGAACATCTTTTTAGCGAAAAAGCAATAGTTTCAAACTTCTATTTTATTTCCTAAACCACACTTGTGAACTTCCATTTATTATATATCAATCGGAGGCATATTGAACAGGCTTTCGGAGGTTAATGTAAAATATTTTATAAAATTACATTTCATGCCGTAAAAATGCAGAGAAAGATAACTTTTTAGACTAGGAAATAATAGCATGCTATTATTTCCTAGTATGTAATGTAACTTTTGTTGTACTCTGTGTGATTCTGAAAGAATCTGAATACGTATAAATAAACTTTGATTTATAAATAAACTTTAATTCAATATAGGTATTTATGTCGCCCAGACCCGCTCAAGAAAAATTAATTTCAATTTTCAAATGTTTCTACATAAATTTTTTTTTTTTAATTTGACGTCCATTTCCTATTAAATTTAATAATAATGTCATAAAAGATATATTTGTGTTCTAATAAAAATGTAGACCAAATAATATGCACATCTTTTTAATACATACTGTTCAAAGAATAATAGAACCACATGAGGCGCAAATCTTATCTAAAATTATTAATAAAACTATGGACTCGATTGAGTTGATTTTTGTTGTAAATTAAGAATATTTGATGGAGCCAGTAATTTTTCCCAATTTAACCAAAAGTTCAATGATTTATCTGAAAAGTTCATCAAACGATTCGCCTTTTTTTTGTTACAACTGTACCAAAAACACATCCCAACTGACTGGGATTTGTTTTTGGTATACTCAAATCCTAATTCTGTTATATTTTGCAGACCAATGATCTTAAAGTATGTTGTATGCAAATATGAAAGTAAAGAACTTATTCTCGAAACAAAAAGTTTTTGTTGAACGGCAAATAAATGAACTTGCTCATACTATAATCCAGATATCAAATGGAAAAGTTCCTAATATCTAAAGCTCTTTATTTCAACAGCCATTGACAAAAAAAAGTTTAGCGGAAATCGCTGAAACACCGTCTTTTCAATCGTGTCCGCGTTATAATAAATACCTATTGAAAAAAGCCATATTGAAAACTTCACAAACAAATTATTTAACATTGAGAAAGCATTTTTACTCTTTAGGATATGTCCACTTTATTGCTGGACCCGTTTCATAAAACATTTCCTTCATTTCTCTAATAATTGGATATTAGGCAATGGCAAGCAAAGGAAAAAATAAATAAAGATTTTATAAAAGCTCGAAAAATTCTTATACAAAAAAATTTTTTGGAAAAAATAAAATCTACACGTAGCAAAAATGAAAATCTACACAAAATAGAAAAATCTAAAATCAAAAAAAATTAAAATCTACACAAAGCAAAAATTAAAATCCACACAAACCCATCTAGGTGGCACCTGTTCACCTAATAATAGCAATACTGCACGCAAAGCATTTTCTGATTCAAAATTGTTATCAGAAATATTGAATATAGATATAAATCGTATTGTCTATTTAAGAACAATATTAATATCTTTGTCCTGTCAAAATCCAATTTATCAAACCAAATTTAAAAAACATTGTCTACAAACAGTTTTAATTAAACTCAAATTATGAAATAATTTTATCAGTTGGAACTTTCGGCGAAAATGCAGGAAAAAGTTTTCACAAATGTCGCAGAAAAAATTGTTTAGATCATGGAACAAAAAACCTCAAGAGTCAACAACTTAACTGACGTTTTTTGTCGATGTTTAGAAACATAAGATCCTTATATTTTTGGTATTATTTTGAAAAGATGATTAAAGTCTGTATGTAAATCAGTACTACCAGAGGTGGTGTTGCAACTTTTACTGATTGAAAATTCCATAAGGAATAAAGGATGTTAATGAAGAAATCTTACCTGAGCTAATTGGTGTTTATCGACAATTAGATTGTGTTGATATAGAAGGCGATAGAATTCTATCCAAAACAAATAAATGCTCAGTAATAATTATGAAATTTACTTTTAATTGAAATAGTTCGAAACTATTATTATTAAATGATATTAGTACTTCTATTTGCATGTTTTTTCTTATTCCGCAAGACCCCATTCTTGGGGAAAACCTCTTTTGTATTATTTTTTTTTTTTTAAATTTTATTAATTTTATTTTTATTCTAATAATTTTGATTTATGCGTGTTAAGGAATATATTTAATTAAATTGGAGCTTGATTTTTAGCACTGACTAAAAATGACAGTCATGTTTTATGTAAAAAAAAACAACAAAAAAAACAAACAATTTAAGTAGAAACATTTTAAAATTAAAAATAGTTGTATTTGGGCGACATCAATACCTATATTGGATTAAAAAAAGAAGGGTCGAAGTTTATCCATACATTTAGACTTTTATAGAAATATAGAATTTAATAAAAGTCACATTCAAGTATGCTATGATTTTCTAGTCTGAAAAGTCATCTTTCTGGCAATTCTACGGCATGAAATCCTGTTTAATATTTTTCCGATTGATATATAACATATGGAAGTTCAAAGGGGTGGATTAGGAAATAAAATAAAAGTTCAAAATTATTGCTTTTTCACTAAAAAATTGTTCTTCAAAATATGACAACTTTGAGCATCTGTGGGGAAGCGCCAAGTGATCTAAAAAGAAA